GAAGCTTTCCTCATATTCCAAAAAATTGAGCAAGCTTCAACGCTTCTGCCCATTCACTTTGAATGGGGTGACGTCACGTTTCGCCGAACTGCATTGTGGGAGTGAAGCTTAGCTTCAGAAGCGTTGCTCGCTGCAAAAGTTGAGCAATGTTCAACTTTTGAAGCTTCGGTGGAAGCGTCAGCCAATCGAATCATATGCCAGTACAAGCTCTAGCCAATCAAACCGCGTGCTTGTGTGTCCGGGGCGGGAGATTCATGTGATTGGTTGTTGGTCGAGTTTCAGCCCCCCCCGCCGGCAAGCTTCAACGCACGCCGCCGTGTGGACGGGCCGTTAATTAAATTAACAACCGGTGCACAAGAGGGGCAACAATGAGACGACAGGAATGCTTTTCCAGGAGGAGGAGGCCACTGAAATTCTTTCCCTCCTCTTCTTTTCTGACTGTTTCTCACTAGTTTTGCATTTGGCTAGGGTCAGTGTCAATACTGCTAGCATAAGGCGGTACCTGGACCCTTCAGAGGTTACAAAGGCAGTCTTACTCCTCCAGGATGGCACATACATACGTGACATTGCCCTAAGGTTTGCTGCGTCTCCCAGCACAGTCTCAAGCGGAAGAGATTCCAGGAGACAGGCAGGTACTAACATAGCATCAATGGTTTTAAAAAGAACACAAGGTTTGTTTAAATTACTAGAAATAATATCAGAAAAGTAACTCATCTTTTCAGTCTTTACAATGCTCTGATACTTTCTCCAACTCTCTTTTAAAATGTCATGAGTTACATAAAGCTTGTCCTTCTTCCACCTGCGCTCAGCCTGCCGGCACTCACGCCTGGCAGCACGAATGACGTCATTGAGCCAGGGTTCAGATTTTGCTCTGGGGTGCATGAGTTTCAGGGGAGCAACAATGTCAAGAGCTCCAGTGCAGGAAGAGAGAAAGGCTGAGGTTAATTGCTCAGTGTCCAGGGAGTCAGAGGACATAGTATCAGACTGGGCTAATTTACAAATGCAGGGGAGAAACTAGCAGCAGTGGAAGGTTTCATCATACGACCGTGACGGACAAGAGCGCATGATTTAAGACTATGACAGGGCAGAATCAAATCAAATAGCACAGGCAGGTGATCTGATAAAGCTGCCTCACACACATTGACATTTGAAATGGGCAGACCATGGGATAAGACTAGGGTTGCGGTCGGATAATCCAAAAATCAGCTCCTAACGTCTAACCCTATCGTCTATCCCTTGACCTATGAGTGAAACGTCACAGGGTTAAGGGATAGTGGATAGGAGAATTCAAAAGGATTTAGGAGAAGAGACTGCGGTACTTTAGAGAATCCGACTGCACTTTCACTATCCGACGTGTTTATGATGCACCAGCGGACCTCATAAATGTGCGTCTGCTGCTGTGGGGAAACTATGGAAACTACAGTTTTCTGTACAGCGGACTACAACATGGATGTTTAATAAGAACGAGGGACTACTGTAAACTCATCTAGAGACTCTGCACCGTGCTCTGATGCTGTTGTTTTATGCTTTATGAACGGGGACAACAGAGAAACATATTCTTCATGACCAAAGTTGGAATTGAAATAAAAAAGGAAAGTGAAACTTATGCTCGTCACCCTCTCCCTCCGGTCCACATTAATACAAATGATCCCAATACGTATGATTGTATGAAAATATCTTAAAATCAATACAGATGTATTTATTATAAACGTTAGTCCTTAACATCTATCACTGTGTATATCACCATTCAAACATCTTTTAAAAGTTGAACAAACCCCACACAGCTCAGTAAAGACTGTGAAATGTTGACTTTATTTAATCATTTCAGTAAAAACTAACGTTCATATTTCTCTTTTTGATTATAATACTGATGAACGTTCTAAACAAAGCACTTTGGCAACTTACCACATACGTTTTAAAATGCTTAATAAGCACCGTAACTTTCATGATATCATTTCTCGGTCATAATCGGTTGTTTCCGTGAACGGCCGACTGTTGTGTGACGGCAAATGCTGCGGCTGCAAGGCATTGTGGGGCAGCATTTTCTCCTCTCCTTTCGGTGAGGGAGGTCCAGTGGTTCCTAAGCTAAAGGAGGTTATAAAGGAAGTTTGAAACCTCCTTTCCTATCATCTAGAGAATTCGAACGGCACTTATCATGGCTGCCACTGAGGGACTTCCGGGTCATTTCACTCCGTTAGGAAGGTTCTTAAAGGCCTCTACACACCAGGCCGATATCGGCCGTCTTGCGTTGTTTGGCGACAACGGGTTCCTTGTCGCCCAAAGTCAATTTGGTGTGTCCCGAACCCTCGGCCGTGACACGCCTTATTTGGCCTTTCACGGTCGACACCCGGCCGATTCAACATGTTGAATCGGCCGGGTGTCGGACACAAGCTATCGGGCCAAGAAACCACTCTGATCAGCTGTTCAGCTAGCAAATGAGAAGCGAAACGGAAGTGAGGGACGTAAACAAACGATTTAAGGCACAAGACAGCAGCTAAACACCAGCAGGTGATGCTTAAAGACATCAAACATAGCCCTTAAATGTCCTCTCTTACCTCCCACACATAGCAGGGACATCTCTGATATCGGCGGGAGCGTCCCCGGCTGTCCTCTGCTGAGAGCTCCGTGATTTGTTTGGTCAAGTCCGGTTTTTCATCTCATCGTAAATTTAGCAAGAAGTGGCCATTATTACATTGCTGACTCAATAAACTACACACCCGCCAGAACACTGCGATCATCAGATGCAGGTCTATTAACTGTGATTTTATAGTATGTCTGCACTTTCTGTGCTCATTTCATCATTCATGTATTTTTATATTCTAAAACATGTTTTCGATGGACGAGAGTGAAAATGGAACGCACATGCTATTTGTTTGTTTATATCAGTCTGTTCTTCTTCTCTGTCTTCTGGTTGTTGCCTATTTTGAATGACGAATACACACTACCGCCGCCTGCTGGTAAGGAGAGTTATTGCCACTCACGCATGCGCAGTTCGTACGTGCTCGGCTGAAGTCTTTGCGGTGATTTCCAGTGCGACACACGGCCAATACGCAGGAGAACTCGTCGATGGAACTGTCGGTGTCGGGTGTCGGCGAGTTCTCTGGTGACTGCCTGGTGTGTCAGGGCCTTAAGCTAAATGGACTATTAAACTTCAGCCCAGGTCTAAAGTGTGCCCATGCTCTTGCGTGGGGCCAGAGACATGTTGTATGAAGTTAAAAGCATCTACAATATCAAGAAAGTCTTTAGCTAGTGGTAGAGATACAACAGACATGCACATTAAAATCCCCGACAATTAAAACGCTGTCATAGTTTGTCACGATACCGGCCAATAGTTCAGAGAACTCCTTTAAAACGTATTTGTTGTATTTGGGCGGTCGGTAGACCACCGCACACAGCACAGGATTAATCCGTCCCAGCTCAAACAGGCTCAGTTCAAAGGAGGAGAATGAGATAGACGGCATGGGTTTGCAGTATAAACTGCTCCTAAAGACAGTTGCTATACCTCCTCCACGACCCGTGGTCCGGGGAGAATTAATGAAACTGCAGTCCGGAGGCAATAGCTCTGTAAAAGCAGTAGACTCACCCGCAGACATCCAGGTTTCCATTATAAAAAGCACATCCACAGCATGTGACGTGAAGAAGTCCTGGATGATGAACGTTTTGTTAGCGATCGATCTCGCATTTATCAGCGAGCCTTTGGTTGGAACCGGGGCAACAGTCGCGTGAGTTTCACGGCCCAGCGACCGAAGGTTGCGGTGGTTCACTCCATCAGGGGGGGAGAGGCGAGACCACTGGCGGCGCAGGACATGCAGCTCTTGAGTCGGGTCAGCGACAGGTACCAGCCAGGTGCCGACCATGGCGAGGGGGCGTCGGGAGGCCAGGCGGCGAAAACAAGGTCCATATTCCGGGGGAAAAGGGTGGGGGTGCTGAGCCAGCTCAGGAGACCACGCTAGCCACTCTTTCACCCTGACTAGCCGGCCACTGCGTGTGCCTCGGCGTCTGCGTCTCCGGGGTAACGAGGGCCCGCCCTGCAGTAGGTGTGCAGGTACATCCGATAGAAGGGGGGAGGGGAGTTTGTGTGTCCACCCTGGCCAAACTTCGCAAAAAAGCCCACATTTTCCTTGATCTTAAGCAGCTTGTGTCAGTTGTAGACTAACAGAGAGTCTATGGTCTTTGTCACTGAGCAAAACAGACACAGAACAAACACTAGTACTAAAACAGAGAGGCTTGGACGGCCTGCCAGACAACCCGGCGCCATCTTTAATAAACTAGACATATTAAAGTAATGAAAAAACATGGTTGTGCTTTGTTCTACCTCGGGTAGGGGTACCTCAACTTTTAGGGGCCTTAGTTCCTCTACTAAATCTACTGCGGGGCATAAACAGAAGGGCAACTATGGCAACCATGCTCGGGGGTCTTCTTCGCTGCTTTTGGTGTATTTTGTGGCAGAAGTACAGCGCCACTTACAGGCCCGGCATATGTACTACACAGCGTTTCCAGTGGTCTCATGTGAACGGACACGTTAAATGAGCCGAATGCGTGTGAACGGAATACTTTTTTGATAACGAATTCGGTCCGTTTGCGCTCCCGTGTAAATGGGGTCTAAGTTTGTTGGGATACCTGATTTCAAATTTACCACACAATGTAGTTACCAGGTAATAAGATAGAAAACGTTCAACAATGGTGCTATTTGGGCTCTTTACTAAGACATTTCGACCTCCGGTATGCTGTTTTGTTATATTTAGCCAAATATATTTTAACATCTGTGATGCTTTATGGCTGCAGGAGGTCTGGTGCTTGGACCTTATGATATGGAAATGATTAACATTAATCAAAGTATATATATTGGTTTAATAATTAAAGACTTTAGTTTTTCACTTGCTACTTTTGGTAGTAGGCTACATAAACGTTTTAACCCGATGTGATTGACTGTCCGACCTCAATTCATAGTGACATTTTACTTTGAAGGTACCACCGGATGTCACGTGTTGTATCACGTCCGCTCAGCTTGACAGGTGAGGAAGCAGTTCCTGAAGTTGCGTTATGTTAGTGGGATGTGGTTCTAAACCAAATATTCTGACCTCATATTCCTTTACACTCATAACAACCGGACAGAAAGCGCCTTCATAAGACAGAGCAAGGTGGAATAAGTAATTTTGCGGACAACTTTATACTTTTTGGAGGCCTGGGGGAAATACAAAACGTTAAGCTAACGATAAGTAGCCACCATGTCGTGGGAAGAAAAGCCTTGTTTTCTGGCCTCGCCTGTGTGCTCTTCTCTGCTCCGTTACACTGCACTCTGAACCCGCTGAACACAACAACAAGCAGCGGTAACTTCACCTCATCTGTCAATGCAGCTAACAGTTAGCATTATAAATTAACAACGACGGTTTAGCTTGATAGCTTTGTGAGCCATGGCGGACAGCTTTGGAGAGCAGTCCAGTGGTGGTGCCCTTGGCTTAGGCGTTACAGGACAGAGCAGTGAAGCTTCAATGCTGCCGACTTTGGCTAACTCTCTGCCGGGGGGACACCCGACATCCAGCGGTGCTCCCTCCAGCTCTAACCCGGCCTCCCCTCCTCCCACCGCGGCCGCGCAGAGTGGCCTATCCGCTCTCGTAGCACCTATGTCGGCTGTTACTGCGACACCAGCCGCTTTCTCCTCGCCACCGGTCGTGTCCGTGTATCCCAGCCTACACGTCTCCTCCTCTCACCCCGGTGTTGGGCTAGGGGTTGGCGGGGTGGCAGGAGCGGGCCTTCTGTCCCAAATCCACGCAACTTCATGGGACCCGAGCCTCAGCACGGACTGGGACAACGAGAAGGCTTCACAGCAGTGCATCCTGAGGATAAAGAGGTAATAAAAACTCTGTTGTATGTCACTGTTGTATGTTATCAGGTAAGTTGAGGCCTAAATTGTCAGTGAGTTGAGGTAAAATCGAAAGTGAACGTTTTCTATAAAGTTGCTGTCATCAGTGGAAACCTGTTGTGACTTGAGATGAAACCTAAACATTTATAGTGTTTTATACAATCATTCACAATTAAATGAAAAAAAAAAACACTTTATTTATTGATGTATGTCACAGTGACGTTTTATTTTCAGACTCATTTGTCATATTCTTATTGTTCTTTCTATTTTGTATATTTATATTTCTTGCAAACTTATAATTTTCGTGATATTTTCTTGCAATAGTTCGAATACACTTTTGTATTTACTTTGTTTATAGCTGAATTAATCTCATTTTGAATGCACCATTATACAATAAACAACTTCCTTGTATATGTAAACCTGCTTGGCAATACACCTGATTGTGATTCTGATTGCTTCCAAATCACGAGTTCAACATCCTTGTCATCCTGTGTGACCAAACAGGTTGGTTCACCCACATTATAAAAGCTAGCCAAGAAGATGCATTTGGATTTACCTTCTGCTGTGGTTCTGCGATGTATATACAGTATATGTTAGATGTTTGTTGCCTACTCATATGGTATGTGTGACATTTTATCTATGCCTCGGGCATTGGAAAAGTACAACTGACAGTGTATTGTGTTTCCACAGGCTGTGTCACAGATGCTACAGATAATCCTCTGTGGACAGTGTTTGTTATACCTACTTCCTACCCGATAAATAGTCCCCATGATCTTAGCAAAGTTGTGGGCAGGCCAGGGGTAGATATCTCTGTTAGATTCTCTCCATTTCTCCCATAACATTTAGCTTTCAGTAACATCATCCGTCTCTCCCTCTCTCTGCAGAGACATCATGTCCATCTACAAGGAACCTCCACCAGGGATGTTTGTCGTCCCTGATCCTCAAGATATGACAAAGGTAAAAGACCAGCGCCCCAGGACATTAACCGTGTTTTTTTCCTTGATGTATATCAGAGACAACTGGATGTAGTCAGTTGTTGTCTTGTTGTTTGCAGCATCTCTCTCTCCCTTTATACACCTCTCTAAATATCCCTTATTTATTCCACTTCCTATAGATCCATGCTCTGATCACAGGCCCGTTCGACACACCGTACGAGGGAGGCTTCTTCCTTTTCCTGTTCCGCTGCCCCCCCGACTACCCCATCCACCCACCGCGGGTCAAACTCATCACCACCGGACACAACACTGTCCGCTTCAACCCCAACTTCTACCGCAATGGCAAGGTCTGCCTCAGCATCCTGGGGTGAGTCAGGATTCAGTCCTGAAACACTTTGCATTTGTCTCTTATCCAAGACCTTATGATATCATCCACAGCAGGCATTTGAATATATACAATTGCTAATCACCACTTTCATTGGATTCTGAGTGGTTTAAGTCAACTTTGTTACACCTACAATGTTCCCGGTCAAAAATGGCCTCCATAGGAAATGAACGGGTAATCCTAGATTCTGTTCATCCATCAGATAGTAGGCTCAATATATATTTGGAATATATTTACAGTGTCTATTCTTTGTATATTCAGTGCAGTTATTCATGTAAACCAGTATTCTGAGACATTGTTTACAGCTTAAAAGGGTGTTATATATCATTTGGTGATGATTACGGGGAGGCTGTGGCTCAGTGGGATAATGCACTGAACTTAGTGTGCTGAACTTTGAATCAGGGGAGCACAGGTTCAAACCCCACTGCAGTCAGCATGTCGTTGTGTCCCTGAGACACTTCACCCAAAATTGCTCCTGTGGGGATTGCCCACAGTACTGAGTATGTAAGTCGCTTTGGATAAAAGCGTCTAATAAGTAACATGTAATGTAATGATTAACATTATTTGTGTTAATGTCAGAGCAGTTTAAACGGACCGGTCAAATTTGACCAGGATCACCAAAGTAAAGGAGGGAGAAATGAATACGACAGGAGAATTAAGGACGGTTTGTCAAAGTGACAAACGATAAGTGTGTTACTGTTATTATTTGTGTGTGTAGGACATGGACAGGCCCAGCATGGAGCCCAGCCCAGAGCATCTCCTCTGTCCTCATCTCCATCCAGTCTCTGATGACGGAGAACCCCTATCACAATGAGCCTGGATTTGAACAGGTACTGCAAATGATGCTGCATTTGTTAGCAATCAAGTGGTGGAGTGATGACATATTTTGTAGGTCGTCCCTGAAGTTAGGAAGGGCTCGCTCGACCAAAAGCAATGGCATTTTTCTATTGGATTTTGGAATATTGCAGAAAATAAGATCTGTGGAAAACACAAGTTTATGATAGTTACACATTTTGTTCAGCAGGATAATCTCCTCATATTAACACCAATTCAATGAATAAATGCAATCGCCAGAAGTAAAAATCTAACGTTGGGTTTTAAACCAACTTCATCACAGTCTCACTTCACGTCACCAGGGTTATGGTTTTGGGGGTAAGGGGGTTTAGTAGTCTCATTTAGTCAATTGTTAGCAAACACCTTTGTTAAGACTCATAAAAGCTGCATTCATTCACCAGTGGGGTATATACTGCCGTATTTCATGTGGTAGAATGAAACCTAAAACTCTGTAAGCTTGCATTTAGACTAGTAATAGAAGACCAAGGGGTTATTGAGTTAAAAGCGAATCTGAACACACCGAAGTCGGAATAACGACTTTCCAATTGTGGAGACAGGACCATCCGAGGAGCACATTTACTATTGGCATTGGTGTACGTCTCGGTGTGCCACTCTATATAGGGTTGCATTGTAATGTTTTATTTGTTGGTCTGTTTGTGTGTGTGTCTTTCAGGAGCGTCACCCAGGGGACAGTAAGAACTACAACGAGTGCATCCGCCATGAGACCATGAGGGTGGCGGTGTGCGACATGCTGGAGGGGAAGGTCCCCTGCCCTGATGCTCTTTGGTAAGAACTGCACTATTGTTTCATTTGACTCTCCTTCTCCTCCTTTTCCTCTCTTCACTCCTGTCCTCTCCTCCCCTCTCCTCCCCTCTCTCCTCCCCTCTATCAGCTGATTGGTGTTCATGTGTTTTTTAGGAGCGTGATGGAGAAGTCCTTCCTGGAATACTATGATTTCTACGAGGGAGTTTGCAAAGAGAGACTGCATCTACAGGGACAGAACATGCAGGTGACTATGTTAATTTTTATCAATTTACAACTACATATTTCATTTTCTATTTCTAGATAACATGAGATGAATACTCATGGGGAAAAGACCTAGCCGTTTCCATGCACCTTTAGTATAAAACAATGTTGAATATCTAGAAAAAACAAATGGTTACGTTAGACTTAAAGTTATTTAAATGATCATGACATGATTTTTGTACAATTGTTGCTTTTACCAAATATTGCCCATACTGTGATTTGGATATTGCACTACATTGTGTGACTTTGACTCAAAGCCCATTCAGCCATATTATTTTATTTAATACAAATATTTGTGACCTTTTTATTTTACTCTAGCTTTTATTAGACCCTTAACGTTAACTTATATTTTTGTAAATACCTTCATTTTATTTGATATTTTGTGCATATTCGTAAAAAAAAGTTATTCTATATTTTAATTATTTCTTTCATTTATTTTATTTTGAAATGTAGCAACTGTCACTAAACCCAATTTCCCCTGAGATAAATATTCAGATATGTTTTTAAATAACAATATCTTTGCATGATGTAAACAGAGGGTAGTGAACTCATCAGGACAAATCCCTGGGCCAGAGGTGGGAGAAGTACTTGGATATTTACTTAAGTAAAAGTACAACTATTAGAGTGTAGGAATACTCTGTTACAGTAAAAGTACAAAAGTATTATTATCAAATATAGTTAAAGTACCAAAAGTAAAAGTAGTCATTGTGCAGATTGGTCCATTTCAGAATAATATATATGACATGTTTTATAATGATTGATCATGAAAGTGTTCTCAAAGCTGGTAAAGGTGCAGCTAGTTTGAATGACTTTGTATACTGCAGGGTAGCTTGTGAATTTACTCCAGGTGGAACTAAAGTCTGATTTAACACTTGATTATATTTCACATCATTCATCCACATCTGTGAAGTAACTAAAGGTATAACATACATGTAATATAGGATTTACCTCTGAATTGTAGTGAAGGAGAAGTATGAAGTAGCAAACAATTAAAAATACTCATGTAAAGTAAAAGTCTCTCAAAATGTTACTTAAGGACAGTACCTAAGTAAGTCTACCCAAGTAAGTCTACTTAAGTCTACTTAGGTACATCACAACACTGATAAAAAGTTATTTTCCTGAGTGAGAAATCCGCCCACCTGTGTCTCACCTGTGTTTCCTGCCCCCCCCAGGACCCGTTTGGGGAGAAGCGCGGTCGCTTTGACTACCAGGGCCTGCTGGCCCGCCTCAGCGCCACCCACAGGCGGATACGGGAGAAAACCTTGGCGGAGGAGGAACACAACGATGAGCCCTCGGACTCTGACACCAGCTCCTCAGGGACGGACCCCGACAGCCAGGGCTCCTCCCAGCCCTGACCCACCCCCACCCCCACCCCCCCCTCTCCACCCGGACAGTGCTGGACTCAAAGCCAGGTCAAGAACTACAGACAAGAGGACGGGAGGAACAAAATCACAGAAGAGAATGCTACGTCTAAGTTTACTGAGTCCAGGGTTCACCATTGGAATTTAGAAAGAGGAGAATTGGTTATTATATAAAAAAAAAAGAATACCATTCACGTAAAGTGCTGGTAAATGTGGCCCGGAGCGGTGTGTTTGTGACACTTTCATTTTGATATCCTGACTTGATGGCTGCCCAAATGCCTGATAGGTGTTGAGATGAACCAGCCATTGTTGCTTGTGGAGGAAAAAAAAAAAGTTTAGTTTCATGACTCAAACCTCTCAATTTTTCCACTTTAAACCACAATCCCTGTGGGTTCTTTATACCTTACCTAGGAAAGACTGTCTGATAGAGATCAGCGAGGAGAAGCTCACTTTGGGGGGGAAGCAGGTTTGGGCCTGTGGAGCTGGACCAGGGGTGGGGGGGGTGACCTGAGTGTGCTGCGTGCGCTGCAGCAGTGAAAGGCTGCTCTTTAAAGGGTCTCCTTTGAGATCAAGGAAGCAAAAACAGACCTTTGAGTTCAAAAAGACGGTAGCTTAGGGTGAAGCTTTGTTGCTTCCATACAGACAGTCCAGCTTCTTACTGCTTTAACTTCCATTTCATTTTACTTTGATTTTGTTGACTAAGTAGCTTTTGTTCAATAGAAACCTGTACTCTTATAACAATATTAATTTGTCATTGTTCAGGTGCATGCTTTTCACCACCAGATGTCAGGCTTGGTGAATATTTGGTTTTGTTTCACTATCCTATCATAAGGGGGAAATAAGGCTGATTAGCCAATACATTTTCAGCTAACACTTTGTTTTGTTTTCCCTCAGCAGCCACACAGGAAATGGACCTTTTGACAGCATTGTTGCAGTCTGATCACAACAAGACCTGTTCTTTAAAAAAAACAAGAGTTTGTTAGACACTCCGAAAGGATAGGTTCAGATATATTCTTAATGTGACGCTTGCATGCCTTATGTTCATTTAATGTTCATAATGGCTGTGAAAATATAATGTTTGAATCCAATTTAGCTGTGAGTGACACAAATCAGTGGGTATGTCTGTCCTTTACCAGCATGCATCTGAGCCATGGTGGGGCGGGGGGGTTCCATGTGGGGAAACATCTCGGTGGAAGGTAGAGAATAATAAAACAAAAAACACTAGCATCAAAAGATTAGCTTCAGGTTAACTTTGCAAAACATATCTGCAGTGCACTAGTAAGTGATCTCTCCACTGCAGTATGGAGAGGGGGGGTTACTTATTCATCAATAACTCTTGACAGATTTCATACAGGATGTGAACATTTCAAATACAAATCTATCCTTTAAAGGAAGATTCAGATATTTGAAAATATGCATATTCACATTCATTAGCTAAGACTGATGCCACTCGAGTGTGTATGTTCATTATGAGGCTACAGTTAGCTTGGCATCAATTTACTAGCACCTCCAATTTTAGGGATTAACACATTATATATCCTATAGATAAAACAAACAAGGTATGTTATCATATATTTGTTACATTTTGGACAGAGTAAGGGTAGCTTTTGTCTTTGAGCTAAGCTAACTGGGCTAGCTGTTTTTTTTAACTAAGCTAACTGGCTGCTGGCTAAAGCCCCAATTAGCTCATGTATGAAAATAAGTATTTTTCCCCAAAAAGTACACATTTCATTTTTAAGTCTAGCTATTTCAATCATAGTCACATCATGGCCGGACAAAAGAATCACTCGTGCTTGTAGTGTTTCCTTTCTGCCTTCCATTGTCCTCCAGTGTCTGTGCAGTCGTGTTGAAGAAGAGAAGAGCCGATTCCTTCTGATAGCAAACCCCGGTCCCCTAGCAGAGGCTAGGTTGCTTCGAATGGAATAACTAATATAGGGCATTTCTTTTTTTAATTAGTTTTATTATGTTATAGAATGGTTATGCGAAGCAGCTCCTAGCAGAATATATGTGACTGCCAAAATGTTGAGTGCAACACACTTCCTGGAGTGAAGAGGTCATGTCCCTGTTTGGTTGTGTTGTGTTGTGTTTATAGCAGGGTTCCTCTGTGGCTCCATAAGAGCCCGATTACTGCAGAAGTGATATTTTCCAGGTCTGCAAAACGTTGGTATTGTACAGAAGTTCTGGAAGTGAAGTACAGAATAAAATGTTGTTCAGTCCTGATGCATGTGTCAGTCTTTGTTTCTTGAGCAGCCAATGTCAATGCAAAGAAGCTCATTTGAGCACTAAATCCAGGTAAAACATGCAACTTGTATTGTATACCGATGTTAATCTAATATTCTGTTTTAGCTCCAGTTTTGGTCTCCACCACAAAATAAACATCTGATGCTTAAACTGTAAATGAGTTTACCAGTTTCTCGAACTGTCGGCTGATTGCTGCTGTGTATGGCATGAATGCAGCCATTTTACAACGAAAAACCAGTGTGAGCACTGAGACTTATATTACTAGCAATCAAACCAAAACCACATAAACTGAGAGACAATGCAATGCTGTGTAGAGGATTGTTAGTATTACAAATATTGGTTAGTGCAGCCTTAGTTAAGAATATGGTACCACTTGAGGTATGTTGTGCAGTTGGTGTGCTTTTGCAACCCTGAAGTTTCAGTGTAAAAAAGGGTAGTGAATCAAATGTATGATTGACCGCTCAGATATAAGAATAAAGTTGATATAACGTAAGGGGTAATATTAATGTTCAGACTTCAACAGTAGATGTTGGTGTAATGTATTTGATATTCTCTTTCGCAATGGTAGCCAGATTGAAGCATTTTAATTAATCTGATGTTTACACAGCTTTATTGCATATACATAAATACTTTATATTTAATTTTCGTAAAAATATAAGTATGGAGATTATTTGTTCGTATTTATCGGCATTTGTACTTTAATCCAATCTCAAAATCTGATATCCTCTAATAGTTGGTGTGTTTTGAGACTACAGGGGGAAAAGGTCATTATAGTCATACTTATTTATAACTAATTAAATGTCAATATTGTTTAACTCTCATCCAAATGAAGAGATTGTTATACCTCACTTGTATAGAAAACATTTCTGCACCATCTGATCTGATGCTTCTGTCACATCCTTGAAACTTCACTCTCGACATTTTGGCTAAGTGCAAGTCTGAGGTGTATGGAGCGTCGATTCCCTGAGTGAAGCCTTCCAGGCAGCACTTCCTTACATGCTGTTTTAAATCAGATTGGCAGGTACCATTTTACTCTTCTTCCACTAGATGGAATGCTTTACCAAATCTTTGGCATACATGAATATTACCTGTGGTTCACAGATGACTGGGTCATGATTATTATGCAACATTAGTGTGTTATATTTGGTGATTTATGTGTTGATCATTTCAAATTATTTTAAAATGTGTTCTTAATCCACTGCCTGACTATATAAATGACCACCTAAAAGGCACTATATAGGGGAAATGATTTCTTAATGGAGCTTTATGGAGGATTTCTATTGCTCATCAGTAAAAGTGAAATAACTTGGCTTGGGAATTTTCCTTTTTTGTTTCTTAAGTAATGTGTTTTATGGGGAAATTGCATTGAAATCATGAGCTAAAATCAAAAAATCTATCTATAATGGCTAACATGCACAGTGCAGTAAAAATCAATCAATCAATCAATCAATGTTTATTTATATAGCCCAATATCACAAATGTTACATTTGTCTCAGTGGACTTCACAGTTTGTACAGAATATCAGTATGACAATACGACCCCCTCTGTCCTTAGACCTTCACATCGTACAAGGAAAAACTTCCAGAGAAAACCCACAGTTTAAAGGGGAACATGGGAGAAACCTCAGGGAGAGCAACAGAGGAGGGATCCCTCTCCCAGGACGGACAGAAGTGCAATAGATGCCGTGTGTAGATCGAAGAGATAATACATTTTACAGCATAGGTAGACCAAATGTTTGGAAATGCATGTGTCTATAATAAGAAGATGAATCCACGAGGATGTCAACAATCCTATGGGAGCCATCAGAGAAGTAGTATGATGAGAGTCAGGCAGGACCACAGTGATAGGTTCAGCCATGACTCGAAGTCCAGGACTCAAATCCAGAACTCAGGATAGAGGATCCAGGACTCAGGACCGCAGCAACAGGATCAGCCACGACTCAGGATCCCGGCGTTGATATAGACACCAAAAAGAAATTTGGGGGAAGCTGGGTTATTCGGAACATGAGAGTACACAGGTACAGACAGACAGAAGGAAGAAGTGAGGTGTCCCCCGACAGTCTAAGCCTATAGCAGCTAAACTAACGTGTCTATGTACATGGACTCCCTTAGGATAGGTTGAGGGAAAGGGGTAGCAAGTAAGAAGTAAGGAACAGGTGGAGAGGCACAACGTGTCTACGTACATGCACTCCCTTAGGATAGGTTGAGGGAATGGGATAGCAAGTAAGAAGTAAGGAACAGAGGTGGAGAGGCACAACGTGTCTACGTACATGCACTCGACAAAGGGGGGCCAGAGATATGGTAACAAATCTTTTTCCACCCAAATCACCTCAGAGGTGGGGTGGTTTTGGCTAAACCTCTCTAAAAAGGTCAAATGTCACTTGTTTTGCATCAATCTTGATACAGGGTACTTATTATATGTTTGTACTTTGGATTCCTAAAGCGGTTAGTCTACTAGCCCATCATCCAAGGGTAGTTTTCACTATAAGTAAAAAATAATTTTTGGACGGACACTATCATTTACAGTTTTTTACTATGTAAAATCTGAATTTTCTTTAAAATAAAAAACATCTATATTGATTCTGACTTTTCTACATCCAACTCACAGGTTTATCATTACTTTGAGAAAAAAGATTATTAATGTAACCCTTTTAGAAGGGAAGATATGGTCATTTGTTCTGGGAATGTCATTTTCGAGCCTGAGACCTGAAAAACAGGCTCAGGGCTTAACAGGTTAACCCTTCAGTTCCCTGCTTCCACCGTCTACACACACCACCAAATGACATACCATCAGTAAGGAAAAAGAGTAAGAACTAAAATGTATAGGTGAAGAGGCACAACGTGTCTACGTCAATGCACTCTTATTAGATTATTTTATCAACTATAAGCTTCATCAAAAAGGAAGGTCTTAAGCGTACTCTTAAAAACAGATAGGCTGTCTGCCGCCCGAACACAAACTGGAAGCTGATTCCACAAAAGTGGAGCTTGATAAGAAAAGGCTCTGGCTCCCATTGTACTTTAATGGCGCATTTCCATTGCAGCGCGTAGCTCGCTTTAAGCGTGCCGTGTCGTGCCGTCCCCTTTTTTGGTTGTGCTTCCACTAGGCCTCGTTCCGGCGCGGCACGGCGCGGGGCCACTTTTTCCCCTCTTTTCTGGCCCTAGAAAATTGTGGTTCTATCGGGGCCAACAAACAGGGCTGAGTATGCTAAACTAGAGAGAGGAGCGCTGGCAAGAGGGCTAGAACTACAACAAGATGGACATATTTGACCGTGATTTAATTGTAATACACGTTTCAAAATGATGCCGAAGTAACAACATACTGATACCGGTTAGTAAAAACCATGAATTAATGCTTTGTCAAGTCTGCAGACAGACGGCAGGCGAAAAACCTTTTAAAATTCGTGTTTTTCTAGATGGAGATTGGCTAAGCTAACGCAGTATATGCCCCGACCGTCCACACTCACAACAACGGCCTATACAGACATAAATACAGCAGCGACTGTATTCACCATGACACAGGCAGTCTGTGGTGTGTACTTGTTTAACTTTTGTCGAGTTTCTGAACATATATAAGGAGCTGTGAGCTCTGAGTGCTCACAGCTAACGGCTGTGTTGTGTTTCTGGATTTCTCATTGAAGATGACGTCACGGCTCCGCCTACACTGCGTTACTATAGTAACTACCCCAGTTCCTAAACTGTAATGGAAGCGCAGCATGAAGTGAGTCGGCCCTGTTAAGGCCCAACGCGGCCAAGCCGTACCGAGCCGTACCGAGTGTGGCCGAGGCCGACCGTGTAGTGGAAATGCGCCATTAGAGACTCTAGGAACAACCGTGCATTCTTGGAACGCAATGCCCTAGTTGGACAGTAGGGTATAAGGAGTTCTTTAAGGTAAAATGGCGCCTGCCCATTAAGGGCTTTGTAGGCGAGAAGAATAATTTTAAATGTGATTATAACAGTGGGTTGGTTTATTTACACTCTGACGGAAACCAATATAATCTAATATAGAGTTAAATGCAACAGTAAGGCTATTTTTATCGTCGTCAACATGAATATTAAAGTCACCTACGATAATTACTTTATCTGTTTTAAGTACCAAAGTTGATAAAAACTCAGAGAATTCTGATAACAATTCTGAATAAGGACCTGGTGCACGGTACACTGTAACAAATAAGATTGGCTGCAAAGTTTTCCAGGTCGGATGCGTAAGACTAAAAACAAGGCTTTCAAAGGAGGTATAATTTAATTTTGGTTTAGTATTGATAATTAAACTTGAGTCAAAGATTGCTGCAACTCCACCTCCTCCTCGGCCTGTGCCTCGAGCAATATGAGTATTGATATGGCTGGGTGGAGTGACTTCATCTATGCTGACATATTCTTAATGTCTCAACCAAGTTTCAGTGAGACAGCATATATCAATATTATAATCTGATATTCAATCATTTACCAATATTGCTTTAGATGCTAGAGATCTTATGTTTAAGAGTCCACATTTAATCTTCCTGTTTTGTTGCACTGTAGTAGTTGTTACATTTACTTTTATTAGGTTACTATGTATGACACCTCTATTAGGTTTTACTTTAAATTGTCCTTGGGCAGACACACACACGTTAATATTGGGTATTTTATTGGAGAGAGCGCAGAGAAGCGTGTAAGACTGCGACTCCGCCTCCTGGTCTCAACTCTAGTTTGTCATGGATTAAGTCCACAAAGCTCTGAAATGTTTGCCGAAATGAGACGGCATTCATCCCAAAGTAGGATGAATGCCGTCTCTCTTAATCAGATCAGGTTTTCCCCAGAAGGCTGTCCAATTATTTACGAAGCCCACATCGTTTGCTGGGCACCACGAAGACAACCAGCGCTGAAATTATGACATGCGGCTATACATGTCGTCATTGATCAGATTGGGGAGGGGACCAGAGAAAATTACGGTGTCCGACATTGTTTTAGCATAACTACACACCGACGCCACATTAACTTTGG